CTACCTCCAACCTACCTACTTCCCTACTTGTTCAGGGTCAAGATCAAGCCGACTTCAATCTTTCTGTCTAGCTCCTAATTTACCATGAACCACAATTTGACTCCATAAGCCATCTTGTCATTTGTTTTGTGGTACTGGGGATCAATCCTAGGACCTCACAAGCTAAGCAAGACCTCTACTACCCAGTTACAACCCAGTCCTCTGCAGACAGGTTATCGCCAGATGGTCCAGACTGGCCTTGAATTCACTCTGCAGACTAACGTCTTATAAAAAAAAAAAAAAAAAAAAAAACAAAAAAAACTCCTAATCCCAGAAGCTTGGGACTACTGCAGACAGTGATAACCCAATTCAAAACGGTAGTACATAAAGTTTAAATTATGGCCCATAAAACTAAGTCCTGCAGAGAGATTACCTCCTACTTGAATAAGAAATACATCATTTCACACAGATGCAGCAAATCAAAGTGAAGAAAGAGTGGTCTGATACAAACCGGGCTCATGCAAGTAAAACAAAACTTCAAACTCCTGATTACCCTCAGTCTGTGTGTAATCCCTGCACTCTGGAGGCTGAGGAGAGAAGACTGCCACAAATTCAAGGGTAGCCCGGGCTACAGAGTAAGGCCCTGTCTCAAATAAAAATATAAATAAAAAGAGAGAAACACCAAGTACACAGGTCAGTAATCACCTCTCTGCTTCTTCCATTTGTGGCTCATGAGTTAATATTTATTTACCCTTACATAAACAGAAATCTTGGACCCTAACTACAGATATAGCCAAGAAGATATATTGGTAGAAAATACGGCAGATAGACGAAAAGATCGGAAGTACTAACTTACAAAGGAAAAAGAGGTAAGTAGCTCTTCATCACATGAGACTGGCATTCGTGGGCTACAGAAAGTAGGACAAAGGATCAAAGTTCATGACCCAACATCAGGACCTAAGAAATAAGTTGCTCAAGAACAGGGTGTTGCATGCCTGTAATGTCAACACTCAGGAGGCTGCTCTAAGTTAGAGGACAGCCTGGGCTTTTTAGGGAGTACAAGGCTAGCTTAAACACAAAGAGAAAAACCTATCCAAAAAAAACAAAAAAACAAAAAAAAGGGGGGGGGGATTGTTTCCAATTCAAAGAAGGACAGACAGACATACACAAACAACAACAATGCTGAGAGACCAGGGGTTGGGTACTACTAGCCGTGCACAGGACCTGCAGAGGATCAGAGTTCAGTTCCCAGCATCCACGTTGGGCAGTACACAACACCTTAACTCTAGCTCCAGGGGATCTGACATCCTCTTATGAACACAAGGGCACTTGCAAACATGTGCATATACCCACACAGACGTGTACATACACAGCTGAAGATAAAAATAGCTTTTAAACATTTTTTTTTTTTTTTTTTTTTTTTTTAGTGCCCTGGAAGGGAAAAGAAGCAGTCTCCTGGCCAGCACTACGTATCTTAACACCAAACACCACACAGACCAGGCAGACAGCTCAGCCACTGCAAGCATGCAGCATGGCTCCTGAGTCCAAGCTCCAGAACCAACGAGGTGGGAGGAGAGAATTCACTAAACTCCTCACTGACCTCTGAACATGTGCTCTCCCATACACAGTCACACAATGAGTGCATTTTTTTAAAAAAAGATTTATTTATTTTATGTATATAAGTACAGTGTCGCTGCCTTCAGACACGCCAGAAGAGGGCATCGGATCCCATTACAGATGGTTGTGAGCCACCATGTGGGTGCTGGGAATTGAACTCAGGACTTCTGGAAGAGCAGCCAGTGCTCTTAACCACTGAGCCATCTCTCCAGCTGCATTTTTTTAACACAAAAAGTCTTCAGCCATATAGTGGTGACTCACACCTATAAATCAAGCACTTGGCTAGCTGAGGCAGGACTGTCTTTAGTTTGAGGCTGGTGTGAGCTCAGGAGCTAATTTGGATCAGACTACAAAAGATCCTATGTCCAAAAGCAAAATCAAAAACAAAAGGAAAAAAAGTTTTCTGCTACAAACTCAGGACACTTGACTGAAAACCTCAAGCTGTTTAGCATGCCACCCTGGACAGCCAGTTCCCGCCCCCAGTTGCTTTTGTAAGGGGACATTTACTACATCTAGGGTTTGAAAAGAACTCAACAGCCTTTACCACCTTTCCCTTCTTCTGTCAAAGAACCAACTGGGTCTGTATCAGCGCAAAGTTAACTTATATAAAAGAGTAAAGCTCATTTCAGACACAAAAAAAAAAGAGAAAAGAAAAGAAAAAGCTTGAGAGAAAACAAATTGCCCAGGATAGCCCAGCCAATGGGCACAGAACTATACAGCTGATCTCTGACCTCCAAGGCCAGAGACCTGTGAATTCAGCGGTTCACGTGACATGGAATGCTGGGAAGGGGTATGCAAGTGACTCAGCTTTGGGAAAATGCACCCCACCCATCCATCTCCTTATGGAAGTATTAAATCAACACTGGGCACGGCATAAGGTATCCGTCATGTACTTCCGAGAGCATCTGTGTGTGCGTGTGTGTGCGTGTGTGTGTGTGTGTGTGCGTGTGTGTTGCTAAAAAAAAAAAAAAAAGAAAAATCACAGGGCCTTGCTCATGCTAGGCAAGTGTCCCAATCCCTTCCCTAGTTTTTAAACAGTTTCCAAACCACGCTTAGCAGAAGCTATAAAGTGTAGCATCTGTGTGATTCTAAGTTGTGTGTTTGCTGTTGATTTTGAGACTGGGTTTTCTATGCAGCCCTGGCTAGGTAGGACTCACTATGTAGACCAGGCTGGCCTCCAGCTCAGAGGTCTGCCTGCCTCTGCCTTCCAAAGGCTGGAATTAAAGGGCCAAGCTTACATTACGTTATTATATAATTATAAGTCCGAGTTGTATAACGAACACTTCTAAGGCTTTACCACTAATCGCTGCTCTTCAGATTAGCATATATACTTTTAGAGGTCGTTTTTTGGCTTTGTTTTGTTTTGTTTAGTTTATCCAAAGTCCTTCCTGCTGGATATGATGTTTCACACCTGTAAGCCCAGCCTGAGGCCGCCTGGCCTACATCATGAGTTCCAAGACAGCATAGGATACAGAGTGAGACCCTGTCTCAGAAAAAGAGAGGAGAGGGCAGCCAGGAAGAGGTAAACCATTGTCTCTTCTTCATCTCTGGCCTAGCGTGTTCCCTTCTCTACACTGTTTTCTACGCCCCTCTCCCCATTTCTTCAGGTTCCTTCCTACGTGCCTCAAAAGTATTGTCTGCCACCTCCAGTTGCAGAGATTGTGATATTTTGAGAGCCCTAAGCCTTTTTCTTCCTAATCCTGAGACCCTTTAATACAGTTCCTCATGTTGTGGTCACCCCAACCATAAAATTATTTTTGGTGCTAATTCATAACTGTAAGTTTGCTACTGCTATGAATTGTAGTGAAATTATGTTTTCCAATGTCTTAGGTGACCCCTGTAAAAAGGTCCTTAGACCTTTCAAAGGGGTCTCGGCCCCCAGTTGAGAACCGCTGCTTAGACCAAAAGAGGAAAAAGTTTCTTTTGTTTTGTTTTGTTTTGTTTTGTTTTGTTTTGTTGTTTGTTTGGTTTTTCGAGATAGGGTTTCTCTGTATAGCCCTGGCTGTCCTGGAACTCACTCTGTAGACCAGGCTGGCCTCGAACTCAGAAATCCGCCTGCCTCTGCCTCCCAAGTGCTGGGATTTAAGGCGAGGAAAAAGTTTCTAAAACCCACAACTAAAAGCAAGCACTAAGGCAAACACTGTGACCACCCTGCAGATTTCTACCTTCCACCTCTGGAATATCTATCCTTCGATCATTTCCGCTCTTTCAAACTAAAACTAAGAAAGGGCAGACTTAGTACTGGATGCCTGTTGAATTTCTAGTGTTGCGGGTTCCCACATAAGCCTGGCTATTTAGTAGCTAACAGAATGTCAGGATTTCGAAGGAGGCTCAGTGAAGCAGGGGACCCAGATGTTTGCTAACTTTTCTCTCCTTCACTACACCCCAAAAGGGAGAGGCGCAGAGAGCATTCAGAGAGTGTTCCTAGGTGAAGAAGGCAGCTCCAGGATTTACAAGCTGAGGAGGGAGAGAGGAATGACCCTTTTTAAGCCCGAGGGAGCGGAGAATTCAGGTTTTCTTTCAAATCAAAAGCACTTGCCGAGGTGGCAACACCAACCAGAATGGCCAAAAGGTTGCATCATGTGAAAACGGCGCGCTTGAGAAACAAGAAAACCAGATGGTGGTAAAACACCGGACAGGAAAACCCAAGTCGGGAATCTCCGTATTTTCCGGAAGCCTTGGGGCATCCACCCTTCTTTTCGCTTTTTCTTTTCTTTTCCTTTTTTTCTTCTTTGAAGTGAGTCATCTGGGTTTGGGGTGTGTGTCAGGAGGCTCACATTTGTAACCGAGGCTGGCCTCGAACTCAAGCTTCTACTGCTGGGTCCCAGCCTAGTCACCACGCCCGCATTAAAAAATTCTCCCCTCCCCCATGGGGGAGGAGGGCTGGGTTGAGGGTCCCACGTATCCTAAGCTTGCCCTGGGTTCACTAAGAAGCCAAGGCTGGCCCTGAACTCCCGATCTTCTCGAGACCACATTTCCCAATTGCTGGGTTTAAGGCTCCGGGGTCCCCCCCCCCCCCGCCACTTTATTTTATTTAACATTGCATCGAAATTAAAGTTTCAGTTTCACACCCGCCAGGCGCCAGCGTTCAAGTAAGTTGAGAGAGCTACCAGCCGGGCGGCCCGAGGCTGGGGTTCGCGGCGGGGTGGGGTCGGACAGGGCGAGGAGGGTGACAGGACCCACGCGGCGCGGTGGAGGCGCGTCCCGCCCTGCGGAGTCGCCTCCCTGTCGCCGCGCCCGCAGGGTCCGCCGAGGTCTGGCTGCGAGGCGGGAAGGCGCGGAGCCCAGACAATGGGAAGGGGTGCGGGAGGTACGGCGCCGCCTCGGGCCGCGGGGACGCCGCGTGGAGGCGCTTGGGGTGCGGGGGACACCAGCCCGCGTCGCTCGGGACGGTGAGCGCTCACCTTGACGAAGAGCTCGATGAGGGGCTCTTTGTCCTCCTCCTTCAGCCCGTTCAGGGGCATCGACAGCGCCATGGCCGGTTGGGCTGGGCTCCGCGGAGGGCGGCTGCGGCTGTGGCTCCGGGGCTGCTGTGGCTGCGGGTTCCCGCCGCTCGCTCACTGGCTCGCTCGCTGGACAGTCCCGGCGTCTAGCTGCCCGTGGCCTCAGATCCTCAGCACCGCCTCACGCCTCGCGCGCGACTCCGAGGGGGTTGCGGTCCCAGCCGCTTCAAACCGCTGGGCGGAGCCCGGTAGGCGTGGTGTGGGCGGAGCGTCGGTCGGGCGCCTTAGGATCCTGCGGGGAGGGGGAATGGGTGGGCCGAAGGTGGAGGGCGTGGCCTCGGGCGGGGAAGGAGGGGGAGCGCTTTGGGTTCGGCGGACCGACCACTGGGGAGCCTGGAGGACGCTGGGGGCGCGGCCTAGGCTGGGCAGCGCGGATTGGCGGGGCGGTTCCCCGGGAGCCACGCCCCCAGGGGCGGGAGGGGAAGGTCCCGGGAGCCGGAGCCTGACACCGCCTCCCTCCGCGGCGCAGCTGCTGCTGGTTGGGTGCCAGGTGACCTCATGCGACGGCCCGCCTCGCGCCCTCTCCCCCGCTGCAGCCGCAGGGACTCATCGTCCCCTCCCGTTCCCGGGGCGGCGGCCTCCTCGGCTCCTTGTGTTAGGCGCGGCCGCCTTTTCCTGGAAAACTTTTGCGAAAGTTTTCACGTCCTTAAGAAGAACTTTTTTCTTTTTCTGACGGCGGGCCTCCTTTCGGAATCCTTCTCCATGAGAAGTCAAGATACTCAAAAGTTCTTATAAAGTCGTGCTGTGTCCCAGGTTCTGAATTAGGTCAAAACGGTGGGACAGGACCCCGCTCCAGCGCAACCCCGGTGTTTGAAGCAGCGCCTGACCATTAAAACGTTATCCGTGCTGTTTTGCCCCACCTAGACCGATTCCTGTCTTCCGTTCACCAGGAGAATTTAATGAGTATTAAAGTCACCTGAGTGCCGCCCTCCCTTTGCATGCAGGAGCCCCAGAGTACTTTACACCCTGAGGGCAGGGGCCTGAGCCACGTGGTCTATCGCGGAATGCCTTACGCAAATGTCAGCTCTGGAAAACTTGCCTTCTGGCTTTCCTTAATCTGCTCATTCTATGGTACCTCCCAGGTTAGGGTGATGAGTGAGTTGATTAGAAAGGCTAAATTGGGGGCTGGGAGGAGGCGGCACGGTTATCTCGCATCCTCTGTGCCTAGTGTAGATCAGAGTGCTTCAACAAATTGGAATGATGTGTAAAAATGCGATGCAACCAGCAACTTTATCCTCACTCAACCGATCCAAGTTGCTAGATCTCTGAGCCGGATGCTGTGCCCCAGCAATTAGACCCAGCAATGCTCTGGAGTAAGGCTGGTTTAAGGTCACAGTTTGGCAGTGGCCTTAAACACCCTAAACCTCAGCCTGACTTGGTGGCGTATACATGGCTCGCAGGAGGGCTGAGAGTTTGAGGACAGTCTGGATATATTGCAAGACTATATAATAATAATAATAATAACAATAATGACAGACAAGATGATTCAGCAAGTAAAAGTGTTTGCCTTGCAAGACATAACCTGGATGTGATGCTGGGGGACCCATCCAGAAAGCTGTTCTCTGACTTCTACAGAATGCTCTCTCTCTCTCTCTCTCTCTCTCTCACACACACACACACACACACACACACACACACACACACACCAGAGTTTTGGTTTTGGTTAGATAGGTTCTCACTAGGTAACCAAATGGGCTAACCCAGATCTGCCTGTCTCTGTCTCCACCTCCCAAGTACTAGGGTCAAAGGGGTCCACCACTGCAGCCAACAATCATAGTACTTTTTTTTTTTTTTTTGAGACAGGGTTTCTCTGTGTACCCCTGGCTATCCTGGAACTCGATTGGTAGACCAGGTTGGACTCGAACTCAGAGACTCACCCGCCTCTGCTTCCCAAATGCTAGGATTTAAAGGCACGTGCTACCTCTGCCCAGCACAATAAAGTTTTAGTAGACTGGGGATTTAGGTCATTTGGAAGCCTGTCTACCTAGCAGACTCAAAGCCCTGTTTTCTGTTCTCAGTACTGCATAACTGAGTGTGCTGCCCCATGTCTGTTATCCCTGCACTGGCAGGCAGGCAGATCAGGAGTTTAGGGTCATCCTCAGCTATATAATGAGTTTGAAGCTAGCCTGGGCTACATTAGACCCTACCTCAAAGTAAACAAAAACCTAAGACTTCATTTCAGTATTTAGACTAGAGGGTGGTGTTGGTTACTGCCTTATATAGTTAGGAAGGGCTAGTACCTCATGGAGCCTCTGGTGTCCTGTCCACCCCTACAGGCAAGGCAGGCACCATGTTCCCACTCAGTGACCAGCTAGTTTTTTGTAAAGTAAGAAAAGCCAGCAGGCTGTCCTGTAGAGCAAAACTTGAACCAAAAACAAAGAGAAGGGACGGCTGGACTCTGAACTGGGCCCTGTGTTAATTTTTCACAGAACTGTGAACAGATTAAAGTCCCCTCACAGCCTACCCTTTCCACTGTGATCCCAAATGGTAGATTCAAAACACACACACACTTAAAATGACCCAGCAGAGCCTAAAAAGACTCCACACTGGCCCAAAGACATAGGTGAGTCCACTGGGTCCCAGTTACAGTCTACCCAAATCAGTTTGGGTCCCCAAGTTACTCACACACGTGTCTGTGCTGGGCCCATGCTGGCCCTCAGCCACCTACATAGAGATGTCCCATGGAAACACCACAGAAGGGGTCTTCCTGTCTCTTTGCTTAAATGGGAGGAAGCCTGTGACATTTTCCAAGTTCTGAGGTAGTGTGGTCTCCAGGACTGTGTCTGCCCATATGGACCCCCTCAGGCACTGGGTCAGACCTGGAGCCTGTGCCTGGGAACCTGGTCACAGTCATGCCTAGGGGTCTCAGTTTCTACTCTAATGCTCACAACCATGGGAGTACAGACAAATCTGGGACAGGGAGGAAGAGGAGAAAGAAGAGGAGATATCTCTTTGTTTATACAGGGAGGTCCCACAGCACCTTGCTTCCAACTTTGAAAGGCAAGACATTTTTGCCCTGTGCTTCTGTTTGTTTTTATAACACAGAGGAATCTTGAAGATGGGTGGAGGTGTGTTCTCCTCCATGCACACCCCTCTGACCTCATCCCCACCTGCTCTCCCTTGTGTGCCCCACCCCAGTCCCAGCAGCCTCCTCTCTAGTCCTTGGACCTAGCAAGCACACTGCTGCCTCAGGGTCTTTGCGCTAGCTCTCATCGCCCTCTGAACTCTTTGTCTACCAGAATCCCCACTCACTCACGTCCTTCTGATCTGTGCTCAAAACAGTAACTCCTTAGACATTCGCTGGGAATCGTCTGTGCAAGCTGGGCACTTCCAGCACTCGTCCAGCCTCTGCTTCCTTCCTCTCCAGAAACGTGTGCACGTGTGCGTTTTCCTAGTCTATAGTCCTAGGTGGCTTTAATTATCTGAGAATACAGTCTCAATTGAATTGCCTAGATCAGACCATCCTGTATGCATGCCTATAAGGGCTTCCTTTGATTATTCATTGACACACGAGATCCAAGCTACTGTGGCCGGCATCATCGCTATGCAGGTGGTCCTGGGCTGTATAAAGCCAGTGTGAGTGAGCTTCGCAGTGAGTAAGCAAGTAAGCATCTCTCTTCCATGGTTTCTGCTTCAAACTCCTGCCTGAGGCCCTGTCCTGACTCCCTTCAGTGAAGAACTGTGGCCGGGAAGGCTTGAACTAAATAAGTCCTTTCCTCCCCTAACTTGTTTTTGGTTTTGTTATTTGTTACAGCAACAGAAAGGAAACCAATATGTGTACCTATATCCCTCCTGACATCACATACACTTCTCCAGGGAAGAGGTTTACTGGGTTTGGGTGATGACTCCATACCTGAATATTCCTGGTGAGAGTGTCCACAGAATGCCTGAGCCTGTGGTTGGGTGACTTTCCTGGGGAGGCTTAAACACCTAGTCACCTCAAATAGAGAGGGAGGAGGCAGAACAAAGAAAGAGTCAATCAAGTCCACCTTGGTGAATTCCTCCGTGTCCTGGGATACTCACAGGAGGACGGGTGACTCACGAGCAGCTGCCATCACGGAGAAGTCCCACCCCAGTCGGTGACCTCCATGGGCTTCGACATTTCTAAGATGACAACATGTCTGTCATCTAGGGCAAGAGGGAGTGGTGATTGGAATCTCAGGGAAGGGTCTGGTGACCCTCCCCATCCCCAAGAGAGAATGTTAACAGCCCTGATACCTTAGGCTCAGCTATCTGATATATGGGTTTGTTTGTTTCGTCGCTATGACAGCAGGCCAAGGTTTCTGTGGGTCAGCACAGCTGCTCTACTCCATGACAGCCATGGCCACACCAAGCCTACAGGAAACAGCTCCATTCTGTCAGCCGTACTGAGGTGTCACGTCGTACCTGGGCACAGAGAGCATGACCCAAGCACGGGGAGGCTTTGGTCTCTGCAAGCCTGAATCCTAGCACTTTGCAGCTGAGGCAGGAAAGCAGCAGCAGGCTCCAGGCCTAGGCCAGCCCAGGCTATACGGTGAGACCCTGCATCTAACAAGCAAGGGGAGGGGCCAGTGAGTGGCTCAGCTGTAAAGGCTGGGCAACGTGAGTTTGAGTCCCAAAATCTACATTAAAAAAAAGGAGGGGTGGGATGCTAGAGAGATGGCTTAGGGGTTAAGAGTGCCTACGGTTACATGAGACATATGTCTCAATAAATAAATACCATGTCACAAGGGGTCAGGTTTCCAAAACACAAGGCGTGTGTGTGGAGGGGAGGGTGTTCCAGTCAGCTCCCAGCAGACTGATTGCCTGGTTCCATCCAGTCCTGACTGTCACCAGCTCAGGTGGCCAACCAACCTTCTCTGTGCTTCTCTGAGGAGCAGGTCTATATGGAAACCATTTAACAGGCTCAACCATGGACGAATGGGGGTGACGTGCTTACAGTGGCATCCAGCACATGATCGGAGCTCCATCAGCTCCGGGTGTCAGCACACTGTGCTGCTCGTCCAGCACCATGCCTCTCAGTACATGCCAAGACAGGGCCTTCACAGTCAATCCTATTTCCTCATGGGGCCTTTTTTTAGGGGATACATTTTTCCTAGTCCTCGTTTTGCAGATATGGAAACAGGCTCAGGGAACAGCTA